CTGGAGAAACCATAAAGTCAATCACATTTATGCCCATAGAAACTGTGTCTGACCTTTTAGATAATACCATTTAGGCTGAAGATACAGCTCATTTGGTACAGTACTTGCCTAGCATGCACAAAACCCTTGGTTTAATTCCCAGTATAAAGTGGGCAAATCTGAGATACATGAAACTCTTTCTCAAAAAATAAAATAGGATGGCCGGGTGTGGTGGTACATGCTTGTAAGAGGCAGGCGGATCTCTGTGAGTTCAAGGCCAGCCTGGTCTACATAGTGAGTTCCAGGCCATCTGGGACTACAGGGAGACCCTGTCTCAAAAAGACCAAAAAATAAATAAAATAAAATAAAATAAAATAAAATAGGGGGCTGGAGAGATGGCTTGGTGGTTGCTCTTGTAGAAGACATGGGTTTGGTTCCCAGCACCCATGTGGAGGCTGATAACTGTTTAACTCCAGTTCTATAAGATCGGACACCCTCTTCTTGACCTCTGTAAACACCACACACATGTGGTTCACGTACATGCAGGCAAAATACTCATACACATAAAAATAAAATTAAAAAAATAGGTAATATTTGATTCCAGGACTCATACTCTGCTTTTTATATTATAGAGCAGGCTGAGCACAGTGGCACATGCCTTTAACCCTAGCACTCGGGAGGCAGAGGCAGGAGGATCTCCGCGAGACTGAGGCCAGCCTGATCTATAAGTTCCAGGACAGCTGTGGCTACAGGGAAACTGTCTCAAAAAACAAAACAAAGTATACAGAGCAAGAAGAAAAGCAAATGTTTGACTTTTTTGTTATTGCCCCTTTAGGGCTTGAGATAGGCTCTTGCTATATATCCTTGTTCAGCTTGGAACTTGCTAAGTAGACTTGGCTGACCTCAAACTTGTGACCATGCCAGGCAAACTTTTTTTTCAAAGAGTCTTGCTATATAGACCAGGCTGTCCATGAACTCCTGTTTCAATCTCCCAAGTGTTAGAATTACAGACAAATGCCATCACCCTAAACTTCAGATAATCTGAAGTATATTCAGATTTTTCCTTACATTACTCCCTCATTGTCAAATTCAACATAAAGGTGTTGCTTCAGTGTTTGAGATCTGTCATTCCTCCCTGTGTTCTCTTTCATAAGTATATTATTGCAGTTTCTCTACATTTAGGGAGTCACCAACCTGTAACAGAAATCCCTGTATTAGGAATGCCACTCCTGGGGGGCTTAAAAAAAAAAAAGAGGGTCAGTGTGGCTACAGACACATTCAATTCCAAGCTATTGGGAGGCAGGTGGATCTCTATGAGTTTGAGGCCAGCCTGGTCTACATACTGAGTTCCAGGCAAGCAAAGGTTGGTGAGACCCCATCTTAAAAAAAAAAAAAAAAAGACAAGAATGCTAGACACACTAGTAAGGATAGTTGAATGATAGGTAAAACTTAAGAAGGCTGAGAGGTTTGTTATGATACAGCGTCTTGTCTGGCCTGGCACTGGCTACATACCCCAGGGTGGCCTTGAATTTATAATGATCCTCTTTCTTTAGACTCTGTACTTGGTTTATGTGGTGCTAGGAATTGAATACATGCTCTAGAGCATCCTATGTAAGCACTCTATGAACTTGTTGGAGACCTCTGTTATGCAAAGTAGAAGTCCCTTCACGACCAGACAGCTCATGCAGCTCGGGATCATGTGCTGAGGGCTCCTTTCATAGCAGGGTGTCTTCTTGGCATCTTTCCTGTCTCTCCTTTTGAAGTGTCCGCCACAAATGCCATAACATGAACATGGCCTTTGGCTCTGAAAGGTACCATGCCTTCCTGTAATTTCTCCAGGCAGACAGCAGTCTGGCAGAAACCCACTTCCATATGTAAATAGAATGCCTCACAAAGCATCTAACAGCCAAAGCTTTTACCACTAC